CTTTAGCTCATCGATGCTGCTTTTGTTCTCTTTCGCGATTGACTGTATACTGTCCACATTCACTGCAACTTTAGAAAAGTAAGTAACTGGTTCTTCGATGAGTGAAAGCTGGACTAACTATTTTTAATCACATCTACAGCCTTTGGCATTGCCTCCAGTTGTCCGGCTGGGACATATCTAAGCAGTTCTTTTGCGAATGCAGCTGCTGTTGCAGCGGCGTATGGCTGCCATCGATCGTTTTTGTGCGAGTCCGCATAGTCGCTTATTCCCCTGATAACAAGGCAGGGGAAGTTGTTCATTAGACCAGCGGCTTCCATCTCATAGCAGATACACCCATCTGGGATATGCCGAATGAGCTCTATTCTAGCAGCGGCATCCTTCACGAGTGTGTTTCCGGAAGCTATTGTGCCGTAGTGGATCTTCGGGTTCTCGGGGACGCGTCGCGGGTCACGTTGTTGGACTTTCTCGGGATCACAATCATCGCAGTCCTTTCCATGGGCATGTTCGTACGATGCATTAAACAGCCTGTCGTTTTCGGAACCCTGGTAGTTATATCCGGGCTCGCCAGGCTCAGATATGAACATTTCAGGGTTTCGCGTCTCCATCTCCTTTAGAATCGCTGGCACTCCGAACTTCTTGCGCTTATGCTTTGCCTGCATATTCGCGAGTGCTGCAAGCAGAATCTGAGGCGGCTTATTAAGAAAGTCTTTGCGTTCGACCTGCTCGCCCTTCTTCACTTTTTGAAGGTCATATTGAATGACACCACCACTGCTTCCAGTCGGCTGACTGACAGCAATGTCGCCGAGGCGGATATCAATGTCTGGTCCCGGAATACCACCGCCGATCCCGACAAGTAGACCGAATCTAACTTGTGGAAAGGAGGAAAGTAGGGTCCCTGCTGTTACTGCAGCTGAGGTTGTGCCATAAACACCCGCCTCGAGCGATGCAATCACGACATTATGTTCTCCAATGCGGCCCCAGGTGTAAGAGTTTTTGTCGGTTAATGGCTGTACAAAGTCGAGGGGTTTTTCGTGTTCCTCGTCGAGTGTTTCTTCCGCTGGTGCTCGTTCTATCCCAAGGGCGGCGATCCATCCCACTGTGTACTCGTCGCGGCTCTCCAACGCCTTTGACGAAGCCATTGCGTGAAATCTTCAAAACCTATACGTGATGATTAATATACATTCTGGCTTCTGCTATTCAGAGGCAAGATTAGATAGAGTTTAGCCTACAGTTCTTAGGTCCGCCGCGTGTAGAGTGAAGTTTTGCTCAGAAAGAATGACTGACTCGTAATCGAGAAGCTTGTTAAGGGCCGGTGGCTTCCAGTGATGCTATAGTCAATAGAGACAAACGTGTGGCGGTAACAGCTTCTCTTTTATGCTGCCCAACCCACGCCTCATGACAGGATGCTAAGACATGACTCACGTCCAATGTTATGGTTGGTTCGATCATAGCGCTTTGCCGTTGCGTGGCGGAGTAGCTCGTCATCCCTGGTGACAGATATCTCCACCACGACCCTAGCGCGTTTTGCGAAAAGAAAACGTAGCGCTGAAAAGACGCAAGGTAATCGGCACGTCCGAAGTCAAGCCTCCGTCACTCTACTAACAAAGCGTCTACAGAGGCGGCGTCAGCTCCGTTTAGCCAAGAGCATCTCGCGCGCGCTTATCGGGCAAGGCAGATTCGACGCCTGTTTCAACCCCGTAGATTCCGCTCCTCTTTCCGCTCGCCTACTCGAGACAACGGCCGCCACGTACTTTGGCAGCGACGTCGGAGGCACGCATAGCCCTAGGCATCAGGCAGCAGCGCAGCTCACGCGATGAAGGTCGCGCTGGTTCGCTCGCTTCCGGAAGGCCTCTCGGCGACGCCGGTTGGCCCGAGGCCGTCTCTAGGTACTGTACTCGACGAGTTGCACCTTCGCTTGTTCCCGTCTCTGTCTTCCCTTTCGTGCCTTCCTTGCTCAATGCTAGCCGCGGCCAGATACCTTGCTCCTGGGCTATCGCCCGTTCCTCCAGCTGGCCTCTGCAGCTTTTGCTAATCTATTACTCGTTTTTCTCCTTCACGGCGTCTAATTCGTGTCAAAGTCAACCCCGTTTCAGGGTTGGCCTCCGCTTGTAGCGGAAGACTTTCCGTCGCTTCCGTTAGTCTTGCGCCTACAGCCACTCACAATGCGTCGTCACGAGATCGACTTTTCGCACGGTCGCACCACGACGAAACAACCACCCATTAAACCACGCACGCACGCGACAGCAATTCAGCCAAATCAACCTGCAGAAGAGCCCTGGTCCAATAGCCGCCTGCCTGATATATAGCTTGATAACCTTGTAGATCTTAGGTAGCGAGGCTCACGTATCTACCCGCTCGGCATAGCTAGCTCGTCCAAGAATCTGAAACGCTGCAGCCTCGGGTGTAGCGTGCTGATATTATCTTGGCGCTATAGCGCTTTCTATAGTATTTGAGTTTGATTCCTCGCCTATTGAGTAGATCTTGTCATCAGCGATAAAAATTTTCACCACGACGACCGCACCCGCTCAAGGCTGAGTAGGATCGAAAATGGAGAACTTGCCTACTCAAAACAATAAAGAGCTCGATTCAGGTAAATAGAAAGGCCTTTAAAAGTACTACCTACTAACACTGACGTAGAGACGGAGACTCGACATCTTGCTTCCAATAACAAGCTCGAAGAACATGCTAAATCACCACGTTTAGTGTAAGTAGATTATTCAATTATATAAGACTAAGCCTAATATCAAGCAGCTTTAGTAGCGCCGAAGAGCTGGTAGAACATGATCCTCGCCTAAGCGGATGCAATATTGACCGGAATTTCTTCCGTCTTGCATCCCACCATGTAAAAAAAGACTCTAACGGTCTGTTCGGCTGCCGCACAACTCTAGAAAACGGAAAAAAGATCTTGAAACACGGTACTTCTCCCTACCTAAGATGCTCCCTTAAATACCTCTAATCGGCTTATAGATTCTTGGTGTTGCTTCAAGATCAAACAGGTTCGAAAGAGTTACCATGTCGAACATTCAGCATGGGATATTCTCTACGATTGGCAGCAGCCGAGCATCTACATTTCCTGGAATTCAGAGGATTATATCACCCTAGTTCTGTGCATTGACATACCAAATGAGCTGCGTGCAACCATGCAGGATACTTGGGATCAAAACCTTGTCGAACGAAATGACCCCTATAAATGGTATTGTCTTGTAATTGACAACCTCATGGACCTATATGATACGTCTGTGTGGAAGTTGAGAAACTTAGTCCGAGAGGATGTTGAAAAGGTACAATAAGTCGCTCTTTAAAACAAGCTAATAGCACTAACTTTGCAATTAAAGAGACGATCCCCAGAATCGATTGATTTTCAACGGATCCACGAGATTGCAAGGCACATTATTCATTCGAATGAAACCCTTGAAGTCGCTTTGGATACTCTTGACGGCATTCAGCAAGCATACGAGCTATTCAGCAAAGATTCTACCGGCTCAGTGGAACAAGAAATGGAATTTTCGTTCCGCTACACGCAGCTGGAACTTTCAAGACTTCGAAGAACCATTAAAGCTAGCTTCCTGCGCTCTCGATCATTGGGTGATCGTATCCACAACGAAATAAACCTCGTTAGTTCTAGGATGGCTGTCATCTTCAACATGAGATCTAACGAGAATCGGCAGGCATATAACCTCGTCAACCAAAGAGACAGCTTCTTGATGAAGACAATCGCAGTGATGACATTAATATACCTTCCTGGATCATATCTTGCGGTGAGGGAACGAGCTCTATCAGAAATAACCTTCTATAAATTACTAAACTGGTCTGACAGTCTATTTTCGGCATGAATTTCTTCGACTTCTCGTCCTCGACCGGGCTCATTCTTTCGGACAAGTTCTGGATTTACTGGGTGCTCACAGCGATCATGACACTGCTCACCATTGGCATATGGATGCTGTGGCAAAGCCAACGTGAGCATACGCAAAAGGCTTCCACGCATGTGGGAATACCAAATAGCCAACCATCCCTTGCCTCGAGAAGGTTTACGTGGATTGGTACGGAATGGCGCTCTGCATTCAGAGTGAAAACAGAGAATGTTGTGTAGTCGGGAAGAGGGCATTAAAGCGAAAAAGAGGTAATGTTCAACAGGGTAGAGGACGGAATGGTTATTTAGAGAGATTCTCGCATGAGTTAGGGAGTGTTTTGGAGACATGTGAAAAGCAGCTATTCGGTCAGGTCGAGGCTTAGGAGGTATAGGTACTGCTAATGCATGGGGGTCGATTAGAGCGCGCCTAACATAACGCCGCCATTGTCCCGCACCTGCTTTACCGGTGCTGCTAAGAAATGAAGCGTAGGCCAGCATGCTCGTATGCTGAAGGTTTTTTTTTTTTTTTTTTTTTTTTTTTTTTTTTTTTGCATTTGCCTAAAGTAATGGTAAGCAACGAGGTCTGTATACTAGTCGGTGCTGCCTTCGGTCGTGTGAGGTGACGGGCGGGGTTGCGGTCCTGAGATAGCCGCTTCTGTTCACGCTGGGTCCGTGCTGGATTTAGGAATTTCCAGGGTGCGATATCGTCCAGTCCGGCCCGGACGGTGGGCGGGACGGATAGCCCGCCGTCCCCACGGCCCACTCGTTCATTCGGACGGTGAAGT